ATATATATATATATATATATATATATATATATATATATATATATATATATATATATATATATATATATATATATATATATATATATATATCACTACTTTCTCTGAAAACGTTTGAACTTGTATCCTTTATTATTAAATGGTAACTATATTTTAATCTAATCTAAAGTTGTAACTATGGACCTTAAATAAAAGCCTTATGGTTTCTAGAACGTTCCTAGCCCTATGTAAATAGTTTCTATTTTACGATTTATTTGTATATATATATATTAATGTAATTTGGGCGAATAAAAAAAAAATAAATAAAATAAACAACGGCATAAACACTGATATCACACTCAGTCTGATTGGTCTGATATGCATATATATAGTCATATGTACCCACCACAGATATATTTATAACACTTACATAGTCTTAGAGTTTGATTCAGTATTATATTTCACAAAGTACTTGATTACAATAAAGCTAATGTCACAATTAAAGCTATTTATCGAATTTATCATGCGGACTGCATTCTCTAAATGTCCCATAAATTGTCAAACATATACAGACACAGTATTCGTGTTTTTTTTTGTTTTTTTTTTTGTTTTTTTTTTATTGTTTTCCCATGTATATATATAAAAAAAGCTACTTAAAATATGTTACAATAATTTAAAGATTTTGGGCTAGAGACCTACTAGAAATCTTGATAGACTTTTTTATTTAGGCCTCTAGTTACTGTTCATTTGCGATAGATTACATTAATTATTTACAGTCAATCAATACAATGTGTAAAATCAGAAAGTTTTGACGTATATATACTATATGTACAAAAGAGAAAAAGAAGGGAGAATTTTCGTATTATATAAATTAAATATGTTGTAGATACATTTGAATTTTTACAATGATTGGGCTACAATATACTGAAGTATTATATATTATATACATATAGATAAGAAGTACATGTTATATATTGCATGTCTTATATATTGGCAATTGTGTATAGCAGAAAATGTTGTTTAATTTTTTTTTTTGAAGGTGTTATAGGAGTTTATTTGATTAAGTTTTGTTTCTAACGAATTCCATACATCAACTCCTTTATTTGAGAGAGTGTGTTTTACATAATTTGTCCTTTTATAACATTTGTGAAGCTTTGAAGCATTTCTCGTGTTATGTTCATGAATTTGGTGGTTTATTAAAAAATAATTTTTAAAGAAATCTGGTAAATTATTAAGGTGGTGGTATCGAAACATAAATAAGGCAGTTAAATAGTCATTGATTTTGAAGATGTCTAGGATATTTAAATCTTTGAAAATTGGCTCACTGTGCTCTAAGTAAGACTTGAAAGTCATTAGGCGCACAATTTTTTTTTTGTATATTCATTATTTTTTGGATTCTACTTTTATAAGTATTACCCCATGTTAAGTTGCCATAAATCAAGTATGGATAGACTAATGCATAATATATCAGTTTTAATGAATTTCGATTCACAAAGTGTCGCATTTTAGCTATTATACCAGAAGCTCTAACTATTTTCTTTGTTACCTTAGCTATATGATCTTTCCAGGTCAAACATTCGTCAATGATAATACCAAGGAAGGTTGTATTTTTAACCTGTTCAATATTTTTACCATTTATGTTAATTTTAATTAATTGACTTGGTTTTTTATTTGGAGATCTGAATAAAATAACTTTAGTTTTTGTAGTATTTAAAGATAATTTATTCACATTTAACCATTCAGCAACTTTATCAATTTCTGTTTGTATAATATTACTAAGTGTTTTTAGACACTTGTTACTATAAAATATATTAGTGTCATCTGCAAATAATATAAATGAAATCAATTTACTGCAATTTTCAATATCATTTATATAAAGCAGAAAGAGTATTGGCCCAAGAATTGACCCCTGTGGGACACCACTCTTAATTACCATTTCTTTTGATTTAATTTGGTTGAATTTAACAATTTGTTTTCTATTTCTTAAATAATCTTGAAACCATAATTGAGTTATTCCCCGTATACCATAGTGATCAAGTTTTTGGATCAATATCTTGTGATCAATTGTGTCAAAGGCTTTTGACAAGTCGAGGAAAATACCTATCGTGTATTCTCCTTTATCGATTGCTTTAGTAATTCTGTCAACAAGTTCTATGATTGCAAGTTCAGTGGATCTATTTTCCCTAAAACCATACTGACGTTGTGTTAATATGTTATTTTTTTCTATGTGGTTAATTAATCTCTTATACATAAGCTTTTCTAATAATTTAGAAAAACAAGTGAGAACAGATATGGGCCGATAATTTTTAAATTCATTCTTTTCGTTTTCCTTGAAAATAGGGGTAACTAGAGCTATTTTTAGATCATCAGGTATAATTCCTGTGAGGAAAGTCAAGTTGAACACATGTGAAAGTGGTTCAGAAATTTCTGTAGCAACTGTTTTGATAACTTGTGAACTTATTCCATCATACCCAGGGCTTTTTTTGGAATTCAAATTGTTTATCTCATTTTCTAATTCATATTTAGTTATTGGACTAATAAAGAAGCTATTTTTACAGCTGTTAGTGAGATATTTATCAAAGGCTGTTTTGGAATTCGGGAGCTTTTTTGCTAGACTTGGGCCAATATTTACAAAATAGTCATTGAATCTATTTGCTATTGCATTTGGATCAGTAATTTTTTCTCCTGGACTATTACCATTAAATTCTTTTGGTAACATCCTATTTATCTTATTTCGGTTCACAATTTCATTTAATGTTTTCCATAATACCTTTGTATTATGTTTATATTTTATTAATTGTTCTTCATAATATTTCTTTTTTGCCACTTTTATTACATGATTTAATTTATTTTTATATTTTTTGTATATTTTTTCGTTTTTTCCTTTAGGGTATTGGAGGTATTTTTTATATAACTTGTTCTTTTGTTTAACTGATTTTGCAATACAACTTGTCATCCATGGGCTTCGATTTTTGTCAATCTTTCTTTTCGTCACTTTCTTTCTTAATGGAAAGTTTTTTTCATAGGATGTTGAAAATAAGTTGAAAAATTTGTTGTAGGACTCTGTAGTGTTGTTTTCAGAAAGCACATTTTCCCATGATATATTTTTAATTGTATTAGTAAATGATTGAACATTGGCATCATTGATAATCCTTTTACAGGTAAATTCAGTTTTTGAAGTTTTTTCATGGTAATTTTTTGAATTTCGTATATGAACTATTGGTAAATGATCTGAGATATCACAAAAAATTAACCCATTCGTGCTTGATTCTATAGTTTCTATGTCATTGGTGAAAATATTGTCAATTAGTGTAGCCGTATGCTGAGTGATTCTTGTTGGTCTTAGCACAAGTGGGATATATGATGATGTGTAGAGTTGTTCCAGAAATCTGATACTGTAATCACAAGATTCTGATTTTAATAGATCAATATTGAAATCTCCCATAAGATAACATAATTTGTTTTCTTTGTCTATCTTTCCTAGTATTTGGTTCATTTTAGTTTCAAATGAGTCAAATTTATTATTTGGTGGTCTATATATTACACCTACTATTATATTTTTACCTACAGCTGTTATAATTTCAATAAAGACGGATTCAATTATATTTTCAGTACTTGTGTTTAAATCGAAGCGTATTTTGTATTTCAATTCATTTGCGATATAAATGCCAACTCCACCTCCACTTTTAGTTGTCCTGTTTACATTTACAAAATCATAATTTTCTAGGTTAAATAGATCTTCGTTAGTTTCTTTTAGCCATGTTTCAGTTAAACCAATTATCTGAAACGGGTTATTCAATGAATATATTAATTGTTTAAAAGAGTCAAACTTATTAATTATGCTTCTAATATTTAAGTGTATCATCGAAAAGTTATTTAGATTTTCATTATTTATTTGTTTTTTAAAATCATTTGGTAGATAATATTCGCAGTTTATTTTTGACGATTTATCGAGATTTGCGTTGTTTTCAGATAGCGCAATATTATTACTCGTGTCGAAAGGGTTGAATTTCAAATGCATTAGTCTATCCATTTCTTCTTCACTGATATTGATTCCGTTTGAGACAGTAAATTCGTAATCTAAATCATCGAGTGATTGAAATTGTAACGCATTAGTTACGCAATGTTGACACAAATCAGTTGTAGTGTGATATATATCTATGTTGGAGTTGAATGATTTTGTGCATGCAGACACAGCGTGAAACCATTTGCTACATGTTAAACATTCAATAGATTTTTGTGTTTTTTGGATAGTTTTGAAGCAAGAAGAACATTTCTTCTTGTGCTCACTGTTCAGAGTGGTCATTGGAAAGGTTTATAGTAAAAACTTGAAAGAAATAGATTATAAAATTGTGTTATGTTAATAAGGATATGAACTATGGTATTTTTGAGACTATCAGGTTTCAAACATTCAAGACCTACTATTATTAAACACTCGCCCTTCAATAATAAGTTTATCCCTCACAATCTTGGCTCTTTTACCTTCAGATTTCGCCTTTTTTAGTTCAGGATAGAGTGTTTTTCTTATTCTTTCTATTTCTTCCGGAAACTGTTCAGATACGCCAATATTTGTGCCTTTAAGTTTCTTGGCATTAAGTCGCACGTGCTCTCTGTCCTGGTGAAAATTAAATTTCACTACAATTGGCCGTGGCCTGCGTTGATCCTCTTTCTTTCGCCCAATACGATGAGAACGATCGATTTTAACGTTACTCCGTGCTTCCTTTATCTCCATCCTGCTTTCTAACAGTTCGTGTATGAGTTCAGTTGTATTTTCCTTGTCATTTTCTGGTATGTTGAAAAATAACAGGTTATCGCGCATGGATCTTGCCTGGATATCAACAATTTTGCCGCGCAGTGTGGCATTATCCTCTTCTAGCTTTTCAATCCGTTTTTTTGCGTCATTACTGCTAACTTTTGTTGTTTCTTGTTCCTTCTTCAAATCGTTAATTTCTGCGTGTGCAAATTCCAATGAATGCTTTATTTGCTTCATATCAGATTCAACGGCGTCAAGTTTCTCGAGTTTCTTCATCATTGTCGAGAACATATTATGAATTTCCTTCATATCTATGGTTTTTTCTTCTTCTTTTTCATCCGTTCGTCTGTCGGGTGTGTTAGGTTTTGGGATTTTAGTGTTGACTGGTTTATTTGGCGTACATGGGTTAAAATTATTTAAAATTTGCGCAGCGCGCTTGGAAGCATGTCGTTTGTCCGCCATGATATGTATTATAGATATCATATGTATAAGAAAATTATTATAGAATATACTACACAGTAAAACTTGTAATGAATATTATATTTTAAAATCATATTTACTTGCCTACTTTGATTGTATGTGATCGTCTTTTATTTCTGAGCGACTTTACATTCGATGCCTGCGACTGTCTTCATAGGTGATAGTATTGAAAGCAAAGGCTAACGATTCCAGTTCCCAAACAGCCGACACGAACAATTCAGATCGAAAAATATCCCCTTCAAATTGCTTTGTTCCCGGTAAAACTTCGCCAGCGTATAGAATAAACACCCATCTTCGAACATACAATGCAATATTAACACGTTCTATAATTTTTGCAATGGATTTTTAGCGAAATGTTTCGAGACTAAAATTCTATGGAACTTAGAAAGCCCGATAATTACTACGGCGCCTGCTTGGCCACCAAGCCTCCTTTACCGTTAGGATTTTCAGGGGGGGGGGGGTCGAATAAAAAACACCTATTTTCGGCAACAGCCAGCCAATCAACGCCGCGATACCGACTGTTTACAATATTTGAAATCTGATATTGTAATTTATCAACAACAAAACTCTTTCGATCGTATACAGCAACAACAGCCAGCAAATCAATGCCGCGATAGCGACGGTTTACTATATTTGAAATCTGATATTGTAATTTGCAAAAGCTCTCTTTCTATCTTATACTATACGATCGATCGATCGAAAGAGTTTTGTTGTTGATAAATTACAATATCAGATTTCAAATATTGTAAACAGTCGGTATCGCGGCGTTGATTGGCTGGCTGTTGCCGGAAATAGGTGTTTTTTATTTGAATCCCCCCCTGACAATCCAAACGGTGTAGGAGGCTAGGTGGCCAAGCAGGCGCCGTAGTAATTATCGGTCTTTCTAAGTTCCATAGAATTTTAGTCTCGAAACATTTCGCTAAAAATCCATTGCAAAAATCATAGGACGTGTTAATATTGCTTTGTATGTTCGAAGATGGGTGTTTATTCTATACGCTGGCGAAGTTTTACCGCGAAGAAAGCAACTTGAAGTGGATATTTTCCGATTTGAATTGTTCGTGTCGGCTGTTTGAGAACTGGAATCGTTAGCCTTTGCTTTCAATACTATCACCTATGAAGACAGTCGCAGGCATCGAATGTAAAGTCGCTCAGAAATAAAAGACGATCACATACAATCAAAGTAGGCAAGTAAATATGATTTTAAAATATAAAATTCATTGAAATTTTATTGTTTAGTATATTCTCAGAGGTATATATTCTATAATGATATATTTACTTTCACTGATACACGTCTGGG